TTTATGTTGAATAAATATGGTTTTTGAGGTTGTCAGTAGTATAATAAATGTTATAGAGTATAAATTTGTTAATGATCTTTGAATTTATGGCTTATGGATCAAATTCTAAACTAGATCTGAAAATATATGTTGATTTATTGAGGTTTAGATGATTATTTGGGATGAGAAATGAATTATTATGGTTATAGTATTATGATTCTAAGCTAGAGACTTAATTTTTAATTTTTGGGTATTTTAGGTACGAATTTATAAAATAAAAAGAAAATTTTGATAATAGAAATTAGTTTAAAATTTGATTTTAGATTATCAATGTTTATTGATAATTAAAAGAGGAGTTAAAAATTATACTTAATAGTATTAACTATAGATTTGTATTAAGATTGAGATTAGGAATTATGTTATATTTTTAATTCTATTATTAGAATTATTTTATTAGTTTCAAAAATTGAAACTAATATTTATAAATAATATGTTATTTGTAGATTGTATTACTGGTGAAGATTGTGGTGAGAGAGAAATTTTAAGGAATAATTTATTGAAAAAGCCACAAGGTAACCATGCTTTTAATTTGTGATTAGTGTTACTTCTTGTTAATTGGGTGATTATTGAGAAAATTATAAATTTTGTAATATTATATAATTGTGCAATATTATTATAAATTTATTTGATTATTGTGGGAGGTGTTGGGAGATTTGCTATTATTGTTGTATTTATGTGCCACGTGGTACGCCCCTATTGGAGCTCAATAGGTGGTTTGTAAAGGCTCGGGCTAATCTACCTTTGGCCGGGTAATTTAGTACCGAGTGAGGGCTACGGCTCGAGGTTAATGGAGGGATATAAGGATGGTTGTTTGTGTTTATTATAATATTTCTTATATTTGTTGGAATTATATTATTTTTAATTCTCACTTAGTAAGCACACACTTAACTGTTTGTATACACTATCATAAATTGGCTTTGGTTACTGGGACTTTTGAGTCTCATTATGTGGTTAACAATTTTCAGGAGAAGAGCCACGAGTGACACGTGGAGGAGTCCCAGAGGCTTAGTGGTATAGATCCACTGTCTCTTTTGGGTATTTAATTTATGATTTATAATGTGTTATATTGCCAATATTAGGGCTTTTTATTTATTGTCAATTATATGAATATATAAATGTAATCATGCCTTTCAAACTATTTCTATTTTTGGTACAATTTGGATGACTGTAATTTTAATATTTGGTTTACTTTGGATTGGTTAAAATGGCATGATTATAAGGCCAAATAACTGGCTTGTGTTGAAAATTGACTAAATTGCTTATTTTACTTGTTGGGAGTATAAGGATGGACAAATGTGATTTAGTTTACTTGTTGGGAGTATAAGGATGGACAAATGTGATTTAGCCTAATGGCATGTGGGAGGTAAAAATTTATCTGAAATGTTATAGTATGTGAGTTGAAGCTAATTATAAAATATTTTATATCGAAATTATTGATATAAAAATGTGTTGGGTGGCTGTAACCCAACTATGGTTGAGTTAAATTATTTTTAAAAAAAAAATTTTGGTGTGTTACAATACTACCCTAGGAAAGCTGGGCCCGCAGCGCGAGTGGTTAAGGCTCTAATTCAAAAGATCCTCAAAAAGGTGGGATGAGGACTATTACATGCCCTACTATCACAAAATACCTTAGCAGGTTCAATATTATGCAAATCTAAGTCTTTCATTAATCATAGTACCCACACTAGTTCTGACACAACCACACTCAATGTTATGTACTCAACCATTGCTAAGGATTTTGATCAGTTCCTTGATTCTTAGTCTTCCAGGAGATTAAGGAGTCTCTTATCTTCAAAAGGTAGCCAAAAACTGATCTTCTTGTAGTATGGCATGCAGCCCAATCAAAATCACAAAAACATCCTAATGTTAAATCTGTTTTGGAACTAATCAATATTCCAAGTCTCAGTTTGTACTTGAGGTATCTCAGCACATTCTTAGTTGCAGCCATGTGTGCCTTTGTAGGATTTTGCATGAATTGACTCAAGTTCTGCACAAAAAAAGATAAATCAGGGTGAGTCTTAGTCAAATAAATCAACTTACCTATTAGTCTTCTATATTCTCCAAGATCTTTCAAAAGCTCTTTCCTCTTATTTCTCCCTACTTCATATGCTGTGAGTGTCAAGTTAGGAGCCATGGCATTCTCAATGGTTTACACCCACTCATATCTGTAAATAATAATCCAACACATATTTTCTTTGATTCATTATTATTCCCTTTCTAGAACGAGCAACTTCTATTCCCAAAAAATATTTCAAAACACCAAGGTCCTTTATTCTAAACTTGCTATGCAAGAATTTTTGTTTGTTAAATACCAATTTAAGAACTTTCAGTAATTAGTAAATCATCCACATATACAAAGATTAACACGATTCCATCACTAAAATGTTTTACAAATAGTGAATAGTTATGCAGACTTTGATTAAAACCACCAAATTTAAGATCTTGTGTTAGATTATAATTTCATTGTCTTGATGCCTGTTTTAATCCATATAAAGATTTATTTAATTTACAAACCATATTCTCCCCTTTACTATTAGTTCCTGTGGGATAATCATATAAACATCCTCATTAAGATCTCCTTGTAAAAATGCATTATAGACATCCATCTAATGCAAAATCCAGTTATGTTAAGCAGCTAAGGAAAGCACAGTCTTAATAATAACCATTTTTTGGATTGGTGAAAAAGTCTCTTGACAATCTACACCTTCTTTTTTACTATGCCCCTTAGCTACCAATCTAGCCTTATAGCACTCAATGCTTCCATCTGCCCTGTGTTTGATTTTATATACCCATTTTGACCTTATTAGTTTCTTACCCTTAGGTAGCTTAACTATATTCCAAGTCTTGTTTTGTTCCAGTGCTTGCAATTCTATATTCATTGCTTCTACCCACTTCTTATCTTTAATAGCTTCTTGATAGCTTCTAGGTTCTACGTTAGAATCAATAGATGAAAGAAAGCACTTATGGGATTTAGATATAGAATCATAAGATATTTGCTTATATAAAGGATACTTAATATTAAAAGTATCACAAGTGGAACAAATATAGTCCTTGGACCAAACAAGTGGCCTTTTATCCCTAACTAGTCTTATCCTTTATTCCTCTTAATCATTAGATTTAGTTATGTCATTATTCTCAATAAAATATGGCTCTCCTAATTTATTTAATTCAGGACACGTTTCAGGCATAGGATCGGAAAAACAATAGTTATCTTCTTTATTTTCAGATTGGAGAAAATTAGAACTATATCAGAATGTTTTATCAAAATATTGTTAAGCCTCATTTTGTTTAGAATCCTTGACATCCTTAAAAGGGAACTTACTCTTAATAAATCTGATATGTCTAGATAAAAATAAACGGTTAGTTCTTAGATCAAGTAGAATAAATCCCTTTTGATTCTTGGGATAACCCAAAAACACAAGGAAAAGATCTAGATTTAAAATTATTAGTAATAGTCAAATCAGTGGCAAAGACAAGTGAGCCAAAAATCTTTAACATACTAAAATCAGGCGGCTTATTATAAACTAGTTCATATAGTGCTTTAAACTATAGAATTCTTGATAGAATTCTACTTATCAAATATGCAGCCATCTGAATACATTCACCTTAATAAATAATAGGAACTCCAGATTGTGAGACAAGGCACCTAGACACTTGCAAAATTGTTCTATGTTTTCTCTCAACCACTCCATTTTGCTCTGGAGTATAGGGACAAGTTGTCTCATGTAAAATCCCTTTATTTTCAAGCAAAAATTTTGGTTCATTACTCAAAAATTATTTTCCATTATCTATCCTATTTCTTTTAATAGAGGCAAAGAATTGGTCTAGAACATATGCCACAAAATGCTTAATAGGAGAAACAGCTTCATTCTTATGTCTCAACAAGAAAACCCAAGTAGCCTTAGAAAAATCATCAACAATGGTAAGCAAATACTGATGACCTTGATGTGTGGATTCTCTATATTGTTCCCATACATCCATATGCAATAGTTCAAAACAACATTGAGTTTTAATAGAGCTAGAAGGAAAAGAAAACTTTGTTTGCTTTGACTGAACACACATCTCGCTAATTTTATTATTCATATGAATATTATCCTTTAACAAGTGTAAATGTTTCATAACAAGAAAAGAAAGATGGCCTAGTCTATAATGCCATAATATTCATCACTAAATTCATTATCTACATTGCTTTCAACAGCATTAACAATAAAAGTGTTAACAATCAAAATGTATAATCCTTCTAACAATTTACTAATTGCTTTCATCTTGCCATCTAGAAGGCCCTACACCAAACACATGTCAGGATAGAAGGCTACCATACAGTTCTCTTCTTTAGTCAACCTAGGTATAGATATTAGATTGAAACACAATTCAAGAGCATATAATAAATCTTTGAATTTTATCCTTCCTAATGATATAGTTCCTATATGAGTAATTGGGACTCTCTGATCATTAGGAGTCTTAATGTTTCTCACAAGATTAGTATATTCTCTATAAGAATCTAGATATTTCAAATCACTCACCATATGAATGGTAGCTTTAGAATTCAAAATCCAATGTATTTTAGATTTAAAATTAAGAGAATTATGCAAACCTGTACCTGTGAGAGCATGCACAATGTTCTCTGAGCCCTTCCTTAGCAATTGTAGGATTTGATCGTACTGCTCTTGTGTGAATGCAGGCACCACAGTTTGTTCTACCTCATTGACACTGTTAGCATCTTTACTTTTCTCTTAAGTTAGCTTGCTTTCTTAAGATCGTTTACTCTTAGCTCCTTTGAAATTATCTAAAAATCCAATAATTTCATAATAGCTCTCCTTAAGGTGTCCTCGTCTGTGATAGTAAGAGTATTCCAAAGAAGAGTTACTATGACCACGACCTCTTCCATGTCCTTGTCTTCTTCTTATCGCTATCACACTTCCTTTTATAAGAGATGATTTATTAGATCCAACAATAGTCCTCTACATCTCATCTTTCATGATCATATTGTATGCCTGATTCACAAAAGGGAGAGGAGACATTAAGAGAATTTGACTTCTTCCCTGTCCATATGATTCACTAAGCCCCATAAGGAATTGGAGAAGACATTGTTGCTGGATTAAGTCAACATACACCTTTGAAACTTCACATTTGCATGTCAGGATGGCAACTAATACTGATTGCTCCTCCCATAATTCTTTCAAGTTCGTATAATAGCTTGAAACAGTCAAAGAAACTTGAACTAGGGAATTAATCTCACGATATACTACAAAGATTCTTGAACCGGTGACTTTGTGAAATCTTTCTTTTAGATCTGTCCAAATATGGAATGCAGTCTGTGCATATGGAAGTCCATTTCCCATATCCTTTAACACAGAGTTAAGTAACCAAGATAACACCATAGCGTTGCATCTTTCCTATTGTAGACGAAGTGATATCTCCTGCAACTCTTTTGTGCAAGATCCATCAATAAAACCTACTTTATTCTTCCCAAGCAATGCGATCCTCATGGATCTACACCATATCGCATAGTTTTCTGGTCTAGTGAGGATATGAGGGACAAGCGACATTGCCTGTGCGTACGAAGGGTATAAATAAAGATGATAAGAGAAGTCGATAATGTTGCTGGTGTTCTTTTGCTCTTCAACTATGGTTGGGTTTACGACAATCAAGATTGGTAAGGTTTATTGAGGGGGAATCAAGAATCAACGACCAAGAACAGAGAGGATCAAGGCAGGGATAGAAGATACACATCATGAAATGGAGCTGTTAGATCGATGAGATCAGCACCATAGCTGATGTCCTGAAACTTAACATCCTGTACTTGTGGAAATACCTCAATGGATCGGGTTTCTTGATTATCTGATCCACTTCTTGAAACTTCAGTAAATGACCTTGCCCATGATACCATGTTAAAGACAGTGGGCCTCCAAACTACAACCAATGAACAGGGAATGCAAAACTAATAATTTGATTGCATTAAAACAAAATATTCGATATAGCATCTATATATACAAAACTGAAAGCAAAATAAAAGGCATATGGTTAAGTCTAACTTAAACCACATAACTAAACATATTTAATACAATAGACAAATACAAAATAACCCTCACATATCCTCAATAATTTGAAATCCAATTCTGGCTACCTGATCAAATTTAAGTATTGTTGAGCCTAATTAGAATAGCAATTTGAACATGATTTTTTTTCATCCATAAGATTAGAACCCTCAGTCTTGTTTAGGATTAGGAGTACAAGTAATCATGTTTCTTTCACTCAATTTAATTATTGTTGGTTCTAGATCAAATCTTTTATACTAATAGAATCATACAATGGAAAGAGAGAAGCAACATATTCTCTGGATACTTGTTATAACATGCCTTCTAAAAAATTCTTTAATGGTTAATATAAAATACTTAATGTGATTTTAATGGCATTTTTTAATATTACCCTTGTTTAAGCTCGTTAAACATGAGTGAAGAATGTAATGTAAATTTAAAATTTTTTTAATTAAATAAGAATAAAATAGAAAAATTATTATATTTTCAAGGAAAAACTTAATCTTTAGTTTCTATATTTTCATTGAATTTTTCTTTTAATTTCTATATTTTTTTCAGGATTTTAATCCTTGTAGAGATTAAAACTATTGAAAAAAAATGAAAATTATAGGAACCTGAAAAATAAAAGTCACCCAATTTTTTTAAAACTATAGAGATTGAAAATATTAAAAAAATATATAAAAAATTAAAAACAAAACTCAATAAAACTATAAGGTTCAAATACGATGTTTTTCTTATTTTCAAACGAAATTAATAACTTAACGTCACTCTTTAATTTTAATGAGATAGTTAAAACCTTTTACAGTGATGGAGTATAAGGAAAATATGAAAATTATACATATAGCCCCCCTTTTATATTTTTTTTTTCAATTCCACAAATTGTATCAGTAATTCAATATACAATATATAAAGTTTGAATTATTATATCATATTTGATTATCTCGGCTTATTTGCAACAATAAGATACCGATTTTGAAAAACCATCTTTTCCACCTACATACAGTACTTTACTTTGGTTCTTTTCTCCCTTTTCTACAGTGCATGACTTTCCCATGTTGCCTCTCTCTTTGTTTCTCCCTCTGGTGCCCTCGCGTGACCATGAGCAGTTCTCAAATCCTAGTAGTATTTTTGCATGCTCCCACTAACACATAAAGAGCATCGAAGTTCACACTTTAATCATGACAACCATAAGCAACCAAAATTTCTCCACTGATGTTGGGGCTTATCATCATCTTCCACCCAGTCACCACCACGCATCTTACTCCTTATTTAATATCTTACCATAATTAACCTCAATCATAAACTTGCCACTAATTAATAAGACAAGAAAAAAAAAACGATGTAACAGCTTCATCCTCGAGAATGTGAGAGACAGATCTTGATCACTGAGCCAACCCTACAATATTATAGAATAATTCAAATTAAAGAAACCAAACGCCACAAAGGCAGCCCATAAACTAGGTTCAATTACATAATAACAATATTATTATATAATGTCATGAGTTTGCTAGCAAAGCTTCCTCTTCGTTGTAGCCCTGGCTTGCATGCGAAAGCTCCTTTATCCATTCAAACGTTCGATGACGTGACATTGCCTTCCTCCTCTGCTTCTGCTTCGCTTTTTCTTTCATGGCGTGCGTTGTACTTTCTGTCTTCTTGGCGTTTTTCGTAATCATAATGTCGAACGGCACCGTTTCAACCGAACACTTGCAACCTCTCAAGAATCCACTGCCTTTCCCCGCTGCAGTCTGTCTGAAACTATGATTACTCCTGTCGCTGCTACTGTTACTGCTATTGCGACTTACAGAAGATTTATTGGTACAACGAACTTTAAGATCTTGCAATCCTATTTCCGGTGCCGGAGCTACACCCAAACGGAAAAAGTCCCAGGCTGATGATTTTGATTTTCTATTCAAATGACAGAAGCTTACTTGTCTTGAATTTGATGCCTTTAATTGAGGCCTTGGACTTGGATGCGTGTGAAACTGATTTCGAGGTCTGGGTTTGGAGATTTCTGGATTTGTAATGCTGTTGGTGGAGCTAATGCTACTTGATGAATTCTGGCTTCCAATACTGCTGCTTCTACTGGTACTGCTTCTAAACTCGCTCGTCACAGAGCCGGATCTCGATGATTCGGACCGGTTGAACCCGGCTGGTAGTAACCGAGAAGCATCGGAGCTGAAGGATTTACGTAAAGGGAGGATTTGTCCTTGGAAGAATACTTCATCTGCAACACACATTTCCGATTCTTTGGAAAAGGGACCACCCCATAAGAGGAAATCAAATTCCTCTTGAGCCTCAACGGGTTGTTGAGAGGAATCTGCTTTCCTTGCTTGGTCCTCTTCTTTGTTCAAATTGTCAGGAAGATCACACAACGACAATGCTTCTTCATCTTCTTCTTCCTCTGCTGTTGCTGTTGATGGCTCATCATCTTCTTTCTTCTCAGAATTAGAAGCTTCATGCTCTCCCCTGATACTTTTTGCAGCCATATCAGGAACGATACGAGCTGGGTTCGGAACTGTTGAATGCTAAAGGTTAAAATAAGAACAAGAACTTACAGTGAGGACGAAGAAAATTGAACAAGGGACGAAGGATGTGGATGACAGAGTGAGAGAGAGACGTGTGGAATATAAAGAGGAGTAAAGCGAATAATGGTGACGATGGAGCACAAAAGCAAGAAGCAGAGGATAGAGATGCATGCTAGTGGTGGCCCAAAAAAATGGAATTTTTATTGTTTGGAAGTGAAGAAAGGAACAGTGTGGGATTTGGGCCGGCCATTAACGGAACCAGTTCGCTTCTGCAGTCGCTTTTGATGCCAATCTTATGGATGAATTCAAGCGGGTGGGCTTGTTCCGTTAGGCATGCCTCAAAGTGCGCGTGGGGTCCATTGTGCCCTTTGAAATTGAACACATCAATCATAATTTAAAAGCGACGGTAAATCTTTAGTTCAAATACAATAACGAAACATCCATAACAACCGTCACTTTCACTCGTCGGGTGTATTGTATGGTCTATGAGTGAAGAAAGCTGGGAGACTCATCTTGGACTCTAGTCTTAAAATATTTTAAAGTTTCTTAAAAGTAATGTATCTTAACGTGGAAGGCAGAAGCTGATCTTGGCGGATTGGTGAAAATGAGAGTAAAGTGAATAGGTGGTGGTAGAAGAATTTATTTGTTCTGGTAGGTGACGGTGCAGATTCATAATTGTTCATCCACTTGTCATAATCCTTAGTAATTACTAATCATAAACCAATTTTACAACTCATTTAGGTGAAATTTACCAACAAATGAAAGTTAGAAGCGTTCATGGGACCGCAAATGACTGGCATAGTCCTATCTGTGTTTCACGCTGAAAAAGGAACATGATCAAATTTTCATCTCATGTCTTTTTTCTAGAGTTGTGTTGTCCAGTTTAGAATAGGGATGAGACCGAAAAATCCTGATAAAGAAAACAAAGAGCGGAAGAAAGAAAGAGAGAAGTAAGAATTAATCAACCAATATATCTGTAACTCTAATGATGTTACATATTCAAATTCAGAATAATTGAATACACTTTTTTCATCTGAAACTAACACAACGAGCAAATGGATAATAAAAATATAAAACAAACAAAGTAACAAGCCAACTACAAGAGACCAAAAAAAAAAAACAACCCTTAAATCTAACACATCATTTATCAAATTACCTTCTTAAGTCTAAAACAATACAAGTAAACAATGATAAACTCCAAATACACAATCTAAATTTAATTATTGAGTTACAATAATTACAACTTAAAGTGAAAAACACAATTTTTTAAAATAATATGAATATCTATTTAGGATAGGATAAAACATTGGAAGAATTTTAGTTAAAGATTACAGTAGAGAGTTAATTGTAGGTAGATCTAAATTTTTTTTTTTTTGAAATTTTAGTTTAGTTTAGGAAAGAAATGTTAAAAGAATTTTGATGGTAAAAAAATTAAAATACCCTTCATTTGTTATGCAGAATCACTATTTATTAATTTTTTTAATTCACCTGTTAATTTACGAATATGAATTGCAAATTACACAAGTTGATATGTTAATAATTATATAAGACTCGACATCAGATGTTCAATCATAAACAGTAATATTAATTATTAAATTGCTAACTTCACTTATTAATTTTCTATTATCAATTGTAGATTAATGACAAATCTTATAATTTACTAATATTAGTTATAAATTATTGACATGTCTTATAATTTATAATTGATATTAATATATTAGTAAGTAAAATTAACAAATTAACAACTAATGTTACTAATTGTTTGACAAACTAATGTAATTTATAAATGATATTGATAAATTAATAAGTGTATTAAGAAAATTAATAACTACTTTGCACAAGATTTGAAGCGTAAAACTTCTGTTGTTATTTAATATTTCTAATAGTAAATAATAAGTACATTCATAGTATTTATTTTGCAGAAAAAGAAATAGAGATTTCCTAAATTTACAAGTAATAAATCATTTACAGAAATTTTAATAATTTGTATTATCTTTTTTTTTTGTTGGGATCGTTTGTATTATGTTAATCATAAATGAATATTATCTAAATAGCTGAAACTGAAATTCATTCAGAACAATTATTTTTCATAGATTGAAATAATAATGCAGATGGAAAAATTAGGTTCCTTATTTTGCAAGCATATGGATGTATTTCTTCTCATATAATGAACGAAATGTTAAGTACCAATAGATTAACCCCATGGTCAAGTCATTATAATAACTAGAAGTGAAAATTCTGTGTAATGGGTTATGAACATTTGAAATTTGAGTTTTTAATAATATCTCTATATCAAGTTATATATCAACGCAGGGATTCAAATTTATGCAGAGCTGAGGGCCAAATCTTTAATATCCAAATTAATTTTTTTCAAGAAAAAATGAAATGCCTGTTTCCTTTTAATTTTTCATTTCTTTGTGTTTTTTTTTTTCACACAACAAACTCAACCGGTCGAATAAACGCGGATTTTACCCCTCAGCTGCCACCCAGGATGTTTAATCACTTGGTCCCTTGAACTCTCGCTAGCGTAAGTTTATGACCGACCTCTACTCTACATTTAAGAAGAATACAGATATCTCATACTTCTGAGACAGAAAGAAGTACATTAATGTGCTTCATATTTGCATTTATTGTTTCATTATCGCATTTAAACTATTTGTATTTATATATAGATATATATTAGCTTGTTCAAGTGCGAATGAACTCCCTCCATTTAAAAATATAAAGTATTTTAAACTGAATCTCACTCTTCTAATAAAATTTTTATTTACTTTCAAACTAACTTTATTTTTTTATATTTATTTTTATTAAACACTCCATAATAAATATAAAGTCACTGTCAATAGGAGCACTTTTAAAAAAAGACAATAATTATATTTTCAAAGATTAAAAATATTTTATATTTTTAAACATTTAATTCTTTAAAAAATATTTTATATTTTTTAACGGAGGGAGTAATAAATAAAAGGGACTTGTGTGCTGTATTTGATTTAAATTTTCTTTGCTTTCTGTTTAGCAAAATAACGAAAATGATGTAAAATTGAATTAATAAAAAAATCAATCTCGTTTTCTGTCTTTGGATTCCGCTAGAATTTGATCATCGCGTATATTTGATTCGCGTGCCCAAATACAAATAGAATAACGATGCATCAACCATGGAAATTCATATCTTCAGGAAGAAAAACAAAGATTGGGAAATAATCGCCCCTTCCTTCTGGCACCAACGAATCAACCAAACCATTAAATATAGATCTCATTGTGTGTTCAGATTCTCAAAATTTTGTACGGCCCACGAAATTACCCAACCAACAACAACACAATTCAATGTAGTAGTTGACCTACCCAACAGGACACAATCTCTGGGGCCTAAAATTTCATTTGCTTCTTCTCAGAAATCATTGATATTTTTCCATGCACGGTGTAGGATTCGAGATAAGTTTAAGGCCACATCATGTTATATATTTTAAAAATTATATATATATATTCTCTCATGTTTATTTGGAGCAACTTCACCACCAAACCAATCATTCCCTGGCCAACACCTGTCAACGAAATTAAAAATTTTGTCATGAAGTTGAATAATTATTTTCAATCGTATGTTTAGAAAAGTTAATAAACTTGCAGATTAACTTTTCCAACAAACTTCTAACAACAATCTTCTTATTATTAAGATTTTTAATGATTCATCTTATGGTTGTAGAAATTGTACTATGTTAACAATAATTTGAACTTTTCTTTTTGCATGGTTAGTCGTGTTCTTGTATTAAAATAAAATTATATGTATTGATAAGGGGAAAAAAACCAACAGAGACATGGAACAGTTATATGGGAGAATTAAGGACTTTTTGTTACATAGTAGCTAGTGAAAAAATTATGAATAATATAAATTTTAGTAGTTCAATTGTAATGAGTTAAGGAATTATAAAAATTAAATTGTAATGAATTAAAAAATTATAAGAATTAAATTGTTTTGAATTAACTAATGAATTAAATGGATAATTGAAAAAAAGTCATGAAACCAAAACTACATTTTTCTTCAAATTACTATGTGCATGAATGTGTTGTTGATATGATGTGACATAGTTGTCAACTGCTGTGAATGTATACATTCAAAGGGATCAAAATATCAAGTTTTTTTAGAAAGTATCTAAATATCATTCTTTCCTTTTTTTGGTCAAAGATCCAAGTGCCATTCTCCCTGTGATATTTCGGGAGTTAACTTTGCGCCTCTCCTCCTATGCTCTACAATAGTAAGGATAAAATTTCGACTGTTTAGATTAATTTAGATGGTTTAAATTTGATGTTTTTATTTTTATTTTATATTTATTAAAATAAAATATTAACAAAAATTATAAAAAATTAATATTAAATTACACCATTCAGATTAAACTCATACCATTCAGATTGGTGATGAGTAGATTTATTAATTTTTTTTATAAATTTTAAGTTTAGTAATACAAATTTAGGCCGTCTAAATTGATTATCAGATTTATTACAATTTATTTTTTTAAAAGTTTTCCAAGTATTTATTTTTAATCTAAACATTCCAGATTTTCTTCTTGATACAGTGGAGCAAAGGAGAAGCGGCAAAGCCAACTCCGATATATGTCGTGGCAGCCTCTCCTTCCAAATTCACAAGTGCAATAATGAACATAGTGGAAGTTAGTTAGGATATTAGTCGACTTGATCAAAAAGAAAAGGAATAGCGAAAGAAAACTGGGAAACATCCACTCCCTTATTCAGCCACTCACTACAAGCTGGGATCCACACAGATTTTCATTAATGTCTTCTCGCTTTCAGTATCAGCCAACCCATTTCTTTATTCATTGAGCTTTGGACTTCCAAAAAACAGAATAAAGGGCTAACTACAATATCAGAATTAACTAGCAAGGCAGCAGATTCACATGTACACTGGAAGACAATAACATAGGCCAAAACCAAACATATGTTGCCGTTTCTCCCAGGAACAAACATGCCAGCTCCGTTTAACCTGAACAACATAAAACCTTAACAGTTCTTTTTCCAGATTCAAATATAACAAGCTAGCCAATCAAGCACACCACGCACACTCCTCTTCGAGTGAGTGATGAACCTTTGATCAACCTTCTTATAGAATATGGAACAAAGAATCCAGAACTTCCTATCCTCCCCAGCTAAATGAGATTGGGCTTCCCACAACGTGCTTTCCATCGGACCATGCTAAGCGACCAAATCCGAACTGAGTCTGTGGTGTCGAACCCGATGACGCGAACGTAACCGTGTACGACTTTTTCTCCTTTTCCTTGAAATCCAACACTTCTGGTTCGACTGAGATTTTAACGTTGGGAGAATCTGACGTCACCGACACCTTGTATGTTCCAGCGGTCCCCACGTTTGTAAGAGTCCGCGTGTGTTTAACTACACTGGTCCCACCAAGTGATGGAAAGACCACCGCAAATGATGGGTAATTGAGTGCGGTCACACTGTATTTTTCGCTTGCGTCGCACGAGAACTGTCTCCTCGCCAAGATGGTGACGTGTGCAGCGGGTAGTTCAGCGCACAAAGGAAGTCTAGATAATCATCTACTGTGAGATCATAGGCGAGTCCTGGATTAATGGCTGCTACGGGGTCCACGTGTCCTGCCCCGTGATCGAACGGTGTGGAGGGTTTTCCTGTTGAACTGTCTTTCAACTTCGTCCCGTCTTTGTAAGTTGTGTAAGCCGTGGTCATGAGCGCCGATCGAATCATGGCTGGGCTCCATTCTGGGTGAGCCGCTTTGATCAAAGCCGCTAAGCCGCTCACGTGAGGGCAGGACATGGATGTGCCGGATATGATGTTGAAATCCACGCGCCTGCTATCAACGGCTAATCCAGTAGGACCCACTGCTTTTGACCATCCCGCTAGAATATTGACACCTGGCGCGATGAAGTCAGGCTTCAGTATGTCCGGGGTGATGGTATTGGGACCCCGGGAGCTAAAGGCCGCAACAACTGGTGACGGCTGGATGCCAACTTTGGTTCCCTCGAACAATATCCTGACCGTCGGCTTCGGATCGGAAAGAACATAGTTCTTAATGGCTTCGCCAGCTTTCGCGCCCACCGCCGTCGCCGGCAGAAGATGGGCATCCGCCACCAGTTCTTCACCGTTAGTGGCCGTGTTCGCCAAGACCATGCCCAAACCTCCGGCGGATTTAACTACTGCCCCTTTCTGCACTCTAGCACTAACTCCACGTTCGCACAATACTATCTTGCCAGCAACATCTTCTTGCTTCAATGTACCCATCATGCACAAATTCGCATTTGACGCATGGCTGACCTTTCCAGCATATACAATTGGAATCGGAGAATTTGGCAAAGTGTTACCTCTGTAAAGAGATACCCCTGAATAATTTTTACCATTGCCAAGACTAACAAAAGCAGGAAAATCTCTATCCAGTGTGCCTGCACCTACGGTAGTTATCCATGGTGCTACGTTAGAGAGACTGTACTCATTGGGACCCGCGTTTCCTGCGGAGCAAGAGACTAAAATCCCTTTCTCCATTGCAGCGAAAGATCCGATCGCCACACTGTCTCTGTAATAATCGGTCATCCCACCTCCGAGCGACAAGGAAAGGACATTGACGTTGTCCGAGACGGCCCTCTCGATGGCCGCCAATATATCAGAACTGAAACAGCCTCCCGCCCAGCAAACCTTATAGGCAGCGACTCTGGCGCGCGTGGCCATCCCACGCGCCGTCCCAGCAGCGTACCCGAAGAGGCTTGCAGCCTGAACCACCGATCCGGCAGCCGTGCTCGCAGTATGAGTCCCATGGCCATCATCGTCTCGCGGAGATTTCGACTCCCTCCTTTCGTCGATTGGACCCAAGGTAGCCTCGTAGCCCTTTGAGAAATACCTCGCTCCAATCAATTTCCTGTTACAGCTTGAGGTAGTGAAATTGGTACCTGTTTCACATTCGCCTTTCCAGGTACTGGGGATGGGTCCTAGTCCTGTATCATCGAAGCTCTTGCTCTCCGGCCAAACACCGGTATCCAAAACTCCGACAATCACCTCGCCCGGCGCGCTTGAGTCCGGGAAGAACTCGGCTTCTTTATCGAGCCCGAGAAACTCAGGGGTCCGAGTCGTGTGCAACTCGTACCTTGTCTCTGGTAGCACTGCCAGGATTCCAGATTGGCTCTCGAGCAATCGAGCTTCTTCGGGCGTTAATCTTGTGGAAAAGCCATGGATCGCAGCATCGTAGGTATAGAGCATTTCAGCTGAGGCTGATACTGATTTGAGAGACGACTCGTACCAGGCTGAATGGTGCTCGAAAGTTTCTGGCATCTCGGATTTTGACACATGTACTATGTAAGTATTCTTCAGGACCTCCTCCTTCTTCTCTGTTGCCGCCATGGACACACTGAAGAGATTCAGAGCTACGAATGCTGCAACCAGATACTTGCGAAACGTCTCCATGGCTGCTTCTTTTCCTCACTCTGCCAAGTTTGGAGTGAGACTGTGAGACTAACGTCTCGAAGTAGCTAACTTTATAAGAGAAAACTAATACGTGGCTCTTACGCGGAAGAGTGAACTCAAAACTAACGCGGGAAAAAATTAAAAAAATTAAAAAAATTAATCTTTTAATCCTTCAACTTTTAATTCACTTATAATTTAATTCCTTAATTATAACTCGCTGTGACTCATCCCCCAATTATAACTTGCTGCAACTCAATCCCTCAACTTTTGATTTACCTATAACTTAATCCTTATTTTTTAATTTTTTTTTAAAATTTTTTTATCAAATAAGAGGAAAAAAAATACTCATAAATTATTTTAAAATACCCTCTTCTTATTCATTAATATGAGATATAAACTAACATGAAAAAAAATTAACAAAAGTTAAGGGACTCATTTGTAAGTGATTCAAAAGTTGAGGGATTGAGTCATAGGTGAGTTATATTAAAGGACTGAATCACAGCAAGTCATAATTAAAAAATTGAGTTATAAGTAATTTAAAAATTGAAGTATTTAAAGATTAATTTTTTAAAAAATAATTATAGAAACCCTCTTTTTTTTTTTTTTTTAACGTGACTGTAGTTGCGAAAGTGTGAAGAGAGAGAATTGGGAAGCGGTGGGTCGTTGTCTGGTTCACTGAATTATTTCATGATTTTCATCGAGACAAACACGGTACAGTCAGGGTCACAGTCACAGACAGACATACACCATACGCGAGTGTGGCTGTGTGGGATAGGATTGTGGGATCAGAAATGAAACCGCTTAATTCTCTGATCCATAACATGACATATTTGCTTTTAATTTCTTCCATGGCGGTCCGTGCTTTCTGTTTATCCATCTGGCACTCATCTATTAATTTTCTGCACCTTCTTCAATCAATGGACAATGGTTATGGTTTGGTTTGAACTAAATTGTTAAAGTACGTATAGAGAAAGATGAGACACAGACGTGAATAACGGGGGAATGGCAATCCTTTAACTTTGTTTAAATAATAAAAATATAGCAAATATTAAAAACAGTAAACTTTTTGTTACTTTGCATCTCACCTAAAAGTCTAAAACTATATCTCTTCGCTTGTTTACATATGGTGTTTCAGATTTTTTTTTACGTGTTAAAAAAATTGTTAGATTATTTTATTTGTTTAAAAATACTCTAAAATTACAATAATAATATTACTAATTAAAAGGAACATTATCATAACTTATTTAAGTTATACTAAAATTATTAAAATTATAGGAATAAAATTTGATAAACTAACCAGACAGCTTGTAATTTTAATTATCTTTTATTTTTAGAAGGCGACCGGAGATACCAATTGGCTTTGGCTTGTAGCGCCGGTTCTGTAACCTTTTTTGACCTAACTGGTTCTGTAACCTACCACCTTGAATTTCCAATGGCGTCGTTTCTAACATTTTGTGGATAAAGGTGGTAAGTGCATGCTCTGAAAGCAAAGTTTTTGCTTTTTGTAAATTATAACGTGTTACATGATTCACGGGTTTTCATCTGTTGTGGCAATAAGACAAACCCTAATTTAACCTAATTACTTTCGTTAAACAATAAAATATCCCATTCTTGGTCGTTCTCGCTGTGTCTTTTACCGGCCAGCCAAACATATTATTTTGGGATAATTACGTCTAACATAATATGATAAATTTCTGAAATTTATAACGAAAGATATTATAGTTTTCATGTGATTCGTTCTTTTTTTTAAAAAACAATCTCACGGGTCTTTGTTTTGGGATTTGGGAATAAGTTCCACTGGGCAAGAAGAAAGCAAAGAAAAAAGTTTTGCAACCTCTTTTTTGTGTTGTACATGTTTGGTTCTGTGTTCTATTTTACTGAAGTAACATGAGAATGAGTTTACTATATAAGTTGCACAAGCATTTACTTTTGCAAGGGGAAACAAACATGCAATTCTCATTTGATAAAATACAGAAGAACCCTTCAACTGAACTTCAGTCTTGAGAGGATTCTTGATGAAGATGCCCATGAGATTGGTTTGTTTAACTTTGTCTCGATTGAGGCTGTAACTTCTTTGTTTTGCGATACTTTCCCACAAAAAAAAAAAAAAAGGAAAGAAAAGGGGGGAAAAAAAGAAAAGGTAAAGTTCCTATGTACCAGGTGGACCAGAATCACGTGCATCCTTTTATGGGGGCAGCGTGAGTGGTGTGTCAAGCTTTTTCTCTATTAGCATAAAAAAGTTCAATTCTAATGCTCCATGAGAAAGAGAGAAATACAATTTTTATTACAATAATTTTTTATATTACTATCAATTTAATTAACAATTTCCTAATAAGATTATTAAAAAATATATATCAAATCCTTCACACCTAACATCTATCATTAAAATATAACTTCTTTATTTTCCCTTAACGAATACTTTTTATGATTTTTTTTAACTTTTGAATATATAAATATAGTAAATTCGATTTACATATATTCCAAAATAAAAAATAACATAAGAAATAAAATATATGGGAACTCTCTTTTTATTTTTTCTGTTTTTCAGTTTTGGAGAATATGAGTACGATTGGCCAGTCAGGTACCGTACGCGCACTTGCATTGGATCATCTTTGTGTATTATCCTATCCCCTTGGGATGCGTCGGTACTGGGTCCTGATCGACGACTCGCGTCCCCTTTGTCTCATGGATTCATGGAAAATGTAACATACAAAGGAGGCTTTGTTCACGAAGTAAGAGAAATTTTTAGCATATTTCCATGGCAGACAAATTTTAAGTTTCGATAAGATAGGATATACTCTTATTTGTAAGATGTTGACCAAATAAAATTACAACCATGATAAAGGGTCCATTATATGTGGTCTAAACATTTTGAGAAGAACTCATTCCATTCAATATTACTACTTTTGTCCTCATATTTATTAAGATATTTTTGTAGAAGATTCAACATCTAAGGATATATGATAATTTGACAAAAATAAAGCTTTATTAATAATGCTTTTTTTAATACTAATATTAATATTTTTTCACAAATAAAGTATCAAGTGAAGAGTAACTTTGAAATTTGCATTTTTATTTTAAAAAAATAAGGTTATAAAATATATTTAATTAATTTTATTAACATATATGTTTTTGTATAAAAGTATCTTATAGTTTGTGACAAAGGTATTATAAGACATTTTTTAAAATATCATGTTAAAAAATATAAGGTATTTTAAATTTTTAAGGTATAATTAATAAGATTTTCTTAAAACAATATCCTTAATTAGCTAGACAGTATTGTGTAATTAATAAAAAATTTTAATTAAGACATTCTATTAAATAAGGATAAATACACAACAAGTATTTAATTTAAAAACAATTAATTAACTAATTGAGTGTATACTTTGATTAAAAATATTTTATAATATTAAACGGAGAGAACATTTACTTTTTATCTTATTTATAACTTATTTTTAATACCCCTCCACACCCTAAATTATAAAATAGTTTTAGAGGTATTTTATTGTCTCAAAATATAAAACTATTTGATAAAAATAAGATTTCATCAATAATTATTTTAATATTATCCTTTAAATAGAAAAATATTTAAAATGATTATAAATTTAAAGAAAAGTCATATTAAATGAATGGTATTCTTAATTTTTTTTTTAAAAAAAGTACCTCATGATATGTCATCCTTGAACTTTTTGGCATGCAATATTATCTTAAATTATTTTATAATTTAAAATGGAGGTACTATGCTTTATTTCAATTAAAAAGATCTTAAACTTTATCAACTCAGATTACAAATGTATTAACTTTGCCTTATTTATGGAAAATTAAGTGAAAAACTAGAGAATTTTCACTAATGTATACAAAATGGGGTAAAAAAAGAATTTTGCGATAAAAATTAAAGACACACTCCATTTGGCCTTATTTATAAGGCAAAAAATTTTTTTATCCTATTTATAGTCACATTAATAAATTTTTATTACAATTTTTTTTACTCCTCATTAAATGTTAGAAAGAGAAAATATATTATCAAAGTATGTACATTTAATAGGAGCAAAGTCTATCTATTAAATTTTTAAATAAAGTTAATAAATTTTAAGATTTTTCTTCATTTTGGTAAAATATGTTGGAAGTAATATATAAATAGGATTAGAGGGGTACTTTGTAATTAGAACCAAAATAATCTATAACTCCATGCCATTGTTGTCAAACTATCGAATTAACTTTTTGAATTTATTATTTTTATATTTTTAACTTTTAAAATCATATTAATTTACTTATAAATTTGAACTTAATTCAAATTCGATTAAACTAGTTAGTTTACTCTCTGACGTTATCATTTTTATGTTTTCAACTTATAAAATAATATTAACTCATTTATAAATTTAAACTAGATGCAAATTAAACTCATTGATTTTTTACTAAGCTAACCAAGTTAGATGCATACTTTATAAATCAAAGAAAAATAAAATTCAAAAGGAAAAAACTAATTTTAACAAAAAATAATAAAATAAAAATAAGTTGTCCTATTTTAAAATGTCTATATTAAGTATGATAATTTATCAATAAAAATGAATTTAATTTCATTAATTTATATTTAAAATGTATTCAAATTAAATTAAGATCATATTTTATATTTTAATTATATATTTTTAATGAATATTTATTAATAAAAGTAAATTTTTATAATTTTATTATCTGTACTTGTATTTTCATTATGAGTTTAGCTAAACTTGAGGGTTTTACAACCTTACTCCATGCCGTATAAAATGGAACAGGAGGAAGTGTGTCCCTATAGATTACTATTATATGGCTATAATAATTATTTTCAATGGTGTCCTTGAATTGCACATGAATCTGCATTATTAATATGATGAACACGATATCATTTCCTATGGCATATTTAAATATCTGTCATTGTCTCGGGTAGGTGGGACGCAATATTTTATTCTCAAACTTTCATAAGGAGGACTCTGCTTGACAATGACAATTAAGGGATTTTATAAAATTATTAATCATAATTAAAAATTTTAAATTATTAAAATTCTA